GATCTTTAACTGGAGTACATGAATAAGATCTCTTCAGAAATTACGACACACAGTATGAACAGCTTGTAAAGTCTTGCAAATATGACTCACATTTGACCATGACCATGTAGACATCTATGGTGCAGATGGGCGGCTGAGGCAAACGCTCGCCTTTCTCCAGGATGTCTGGAATCTCCCGTGTGGGAATCCCGTCGTAAGGCTTTCCTCCAAATGTCATCAGCTCCCAGATAGTCACTCCTGAGTCAAACACATGAGCAATATTCAAAGCTCACTGATTGTTCTGACAGACAGTTGAGGTCAACATTATTAGCCCTCCTGTGATTCCACTCCCCCCCCACACACACACACAAAGCAAAGATTTTTTCACAGTATTTCCTATAATATTTTTTCTTCTAAAGAAAGGCTTATTTTTTTTTTCGGCCAGAATAAAAGCAGTTTTAATTAAAAAAAAAAATCATTTTAAGGTATTATTAAAATAATATACTATTAGCCCCCTTAAGCAATATTTTATTTTGATTGTCTTCAGAACAAACCACGATTTGTACAATAACTTGCTTAATTACCCTAACTTGCCTTATAAACCTAGTTAAGCTGAATACTAGTGTCTTGAAAATATGTAGTAAAATATTATGTACTGTCATCATGGCAAAAATAAAATACATTTCCCATTAGAAATTAATTATTAAAATTATCATGTTTAGAAATGTGTTAAAAAAAATCTTCTTTTCTGTTAAACAGAAATTAAGGTAAAATATGCAGGGGGGCCAATAATTTAGGAGGGCGAATAATCCCAACTTCCAAGATTTTATGTAAAAGCTACAATTAATGTGTTCATTTACTTTAGATTTAAAGGGGTCATGATTTAAGAAATCAATAAACAAACCATCCCATGACTTTCAGAACTTGTCCGTGTCCAAAAGCTTTTTACTGAATCAAAGAGGCAAAACAGCTTGTTTTGAATTTCGCCTCAGTATGACATCATAGTTCATCTAAAGACCGCCTCTGCAGAAGATTGACAGCTGCTTCCACATCACTCCCTCCTTTGCCCTGCTGATTTGTTCACCCACTATTATTTAAGCAAGTGCAAAGACTTCTTGATTTAAAAATCTTTCTAAAATCATTTGCAATAAATAAATGAAATAAAATAAATAAACAAAAAAAATTAATAAAATAAAAATCAATAAAAATGATTTAATACATAAATAAATAAATAAATATAAAATAAATTAATAAAAAATAAAAATATAACAAAATTAAATTAAAATAAATAAATAAAACTAAACAAATAAAATAAACAAAAATAAATAAAAATAAACAAATACAAAAAATGTAATAAATAAATACATATAAAATAACAAATAAAAAAATAAACAAAAATAAATAAATGAATGAATGAATTAATAAATAAAATAAAAATAAACAAATATAATATACAAATTAAAAAAAATATATATATTTATTTTCCTTCCTTACTAGCTATGTAACATCATACTTCATTTAGTAAAACTCACCGTAGCTCCATACATCACTCTGGTGTGTAAACTTCCTATAGTGAATACACTCCAGAGCCATCCACTTGATGGGCATCTAAGACCAAAATGAATAAATAAATATGTTTTATATTAAATTATGCAAAGAACAATTGCAACAGAGCAAATCAGAGCATTTTTTACCAACAGATGAAGCCTACAATAATGTGAAAAACACTTTAATTTGGAACAAGGTTGAATAACAAAAATGTTCAACATCAACCCTTTAACTGCCTGATTGACCTTTTGTTTATAAATTATAATTAAAGAAAGATTGCTAATCAAAATAGAAATCATTTTCTATTTTTTATGATTGTCATTATTTAATCAACCAATTAAACACACGATTGACTTATATAACCAACAAAAACATTGACTTCCATAGTATTTGTTTGTCCTGCTATGGGTGTCATTGATTACAGATTGCTAACATTCCTCAAAATATCTTATTTTGCGCTCAATAAAAAAAAGAAAACAAAATAGAAATGTATAAAGGTTTTGAACCACTTGAGAGTGAAAAAAATATTGATAATTTTTCTATTCCACTATAATTATATTGCTCATAATAGAGGCAGGAACACAATTTAAGTGCAATTTGTTTTCTTAGAGTGCAAGTTAAAGAGTTCCCAATGAGACCCAATGTCAACGTTCACTCACAAGGACTTTTAAATGAAACTTAAAAACTTGAAAACCTGATGCTGCTGATATTTTCCCTCCATAAATCATCTTTATTTCATGATTTACTTTTACCTTGTAGTGAGTTCTGATGCAGCGAATCCAATTAGTCAAATACAGATCATGTTTCAAACACTGACCTTGCCTTCATCCGCACTGTACTCCTTTTCATTGGTTTCCAGCAGTCGAGCGAGTCCAAAATCAGTGATCTTGATGTGGTTTGGAGATTTAACCAGCACATTACGAGCCGCGAGATCCCTGTGCACTAGCCGTCTCTCCTCCAGATACATCATACCCTGGCAGAGAACACAAGCTGACATTTCAGCCCATTTCATTCATTCATAAAGCTTTAAAAATGTTACTAACTTGAACATTTCCTGCAATATGGAGAAAAAAAAGGTCTCAATCAAATATATGCAGTGTTACATGATACGTGCAAATTGTCACATTGTCAGAAGATGATAAACAAAGTCAATTATGCTAACATAAATACACTGTGTGGTAAAGATTTTTGGAACAAATTCTCTTGAAGTTTTCTATATGAATATATGAACGAGTAAACATGGTGATGGCAACAATAATGATCGCTAGAATAACACACATACAGTATATATCAGGAGTTTTCAGTCTCGATCCTCGAGTCTCAGGTCTGGTGTCTTGGAGATTGTAGCTCGAACCCAATCAGACAGACCTGGGCTAGCTATAACCAAACTCTAGGTTTTCTTGAAACATCCTTGCATGTGTGTTGAGGCAAGTTGGAGCTAAAATCTGAAGGACATCGGCAGGACATTGACAGTTTGAGAACCCCTGGTGTATATAAAAATATGTAAATTTTGTAAAAAAAAAATTATTTTTTAAGTTTCTAAATCAAATTACCTCTACAAGTCATTTTAAGTTGTTACATTCAACTTAAAACTGCTTGTATGACCTACAAGTCAAACATGGTTAACATATTTTAATCAGTGAAATGAACATAAAACACATGTCAAAACTTTGCATTTAGGTATACATATTCTAACACACACGGGTTGTAAATGTTGCAAAAACAAACCAATATTGGACTAGATTGAAAGTTATAATATTACAAATAAGCTATAATAATGATGTTTTAATACTGGCTAAAGTCATTTATAGTAATTTAATCATGTTTTGATGTGTTACAATAAAGCACCAATTTTGGATTTTGTTGATGGTAGCATTTTACTTCTCTATTTTCTAAGCCCTTATATCAGTCTTATATAAGGGCTTAAAGTATGTACAGACAAGATGTGATGAAATGAAACAGAACAAAAATAATAAAAATAAATAAAATGTTTTGATGTATGTTACAATAAAGCCTTAATTTTGGATTTTGTTGATGGTAGCATTTTATTAGTCTGTTTTTGTCTAATATTTCTATAAGTCTTATATAAGGTCATAAAATATCTTTGAAATGTACAGAACAAATGGAACGAAACAAAACAAAACGAAAAAAAACTAAATTACATTAAACTACAATACGAAACAAAATGAAACATAATAAATTAAATAAAATTAAAATAATTAAATAATAATATCAAATAAATAATGATTAAATAAGTTACAATAAACCCCAATTTTGGATTTTGATGATGGTAGCATTTTACTTGTTTATTGTTTAAGCCCTTATATCAGTCTTATATAAGGGCTTAAAATAGGTTTAAAATGTACAGGACAGAAAAGATGTGATAAAACGAAACTAAATTAATTAAAATGAAACTAAACTTAATCAAACAAAACAAAATTAATAATAAAAAAAAATAATAAAATAAAATAAAATAAAATATAAAATGTTTTGATGTATTTTACAATAAAGCCCCAATTTTGGAATTTGTTAATGGTAGCATTTAATTTCTCTGTTTTTGCCTAATATTTCTATCAGTCTTATATAAGATCATAAAATATGTTTAAAATGTACAGGACAGATGGAACGAAACGAAACTAAATGAAACAACGATATGATACAATACGAAACAAAATGAAACATAATAAATAAAATAAAATAAAATAAAAATGTTTTGATGTAAGTTACAATAAAGTCCCAATTTTGGAATTAGGTTTACTATTTGGTCTATTTGGTCTATTTATATCCGTCTTATATAAGGGCTTAAAATATGTTTAACATGTGCAGAATAGACAAAACAAAAAACTAAATGAAAAAAAATAAAACAAAATAAAATAAAAAAATAATAAAATAAAACAAATAAAATAAAATGTAATGAAATAGAATAAAATAAAATAAAAATTAATAAAGCAAAATAAAATGATAAGTTCAAGGAGTTGCTAATAAAACATTTGGATATTTTCATACCTGGAAAAGAAATATGTGATTAAAGATTTTAATATCCTGCAGAAGTGAATAAAGCACAGTGGAGCTTGTAAATGCCCCCATCACATTACCTCTCATAAAGACCACCACCATACAAATACATCAGGGACTTAAATATAGGTCTGTCAAATTAGATTCCCATCCTAAAGATAGACTGTAAATTAGCAGGACATCTAATCAAAGTTTAATAGCATCGCTTTATTTCTCTTTACCCATGCACACGTCCATTTTCTACAGAAGTTTGTCTATGATTTATGGATTTATGTTAATCTTCAGGTGAAATGCAACTTCATGTCCTGTGCTTCATGAGAGAAAGAAGTAAAATGAAAGACAACATCACGGCAAAAGAGCATCCAAGATGATGTTGAAGTGAAGCAGATGCTTGCACACTGAACAAATAATTATAAAAAAATAATTACTACTTTTTACTTAATGTAATTTCCAATTTTCAGCACAATTAAACTATAACAAAAGAAATATCCTTCCAACAATGATTTAATAAAATGGGAAGTGTTGTTATGAAAGAAACTTAATTGCACGTTTTTCCACACATTTAAATAAGCACTAGAAATAATTAATATAATTTCTTTTCATTTATGCACACCTATTTAACAAATCAAATGAATAAACAACAGTACGGTTTAAAAATGGATTATGATTAATAATATTCAAAGAATCTACAAAAATACCTCTTAAAACTTATTCTAACTGACCTGAACTGTATTATCTGAAAAAAAACCATTCAATTTTTTAAATTATTTTAATATATGTAATGATTTTTTGTTTTATTAAGTTTACAAATATACAAACATTTAGAGTCATGATGTAAATGAATCAGAGTTATAGAATAAATTAAATCAAATATTGAAGTGATTACATTATATTAATCAAAAGAAACACATTTGCTTCTGAAATTTTGTAATAATGGTAATAATAATAATAATAATAATAATAATAATAATAATAATATTAATAATCGTAATATTAATAGTTATAATTTAAAAATAATGATAGTAATAATAGTAATAAATAAACAATAAACAATAATATTATTAATAATAAAATACATAAACAATAGATACTACTACTACAACTACTACTAATAATAATAAATAAATAAATAAATAAATAAATAAATAAACAAACAATGAACAATAAACTATATTAAAATTGATATTAATAATAATAATAATAATAATAATAATAATAATAATAATAATAATAATATTAATAATAATAAATAAGTAAACAACAACAACAATAATAATATTAATAATAATAATAATAATAATAATAATAATAATAATAATAAATAGCAAACTTTTACCTAGTCTATTCTAATTTTAACATTCATTATATCATGCATAATTATGCCAGGACCAGCGACATCCCGACATCTTTTTTTTGTTGATTTCTTATTCAAGACCATTTTTCTTCTGTATTTCCAGCTTGTCGATCTGCCATTAAAACATTTAACCGAATACTTTTATTTATGAATCTGCTTGACAAATAATTGATGATTCTTCAACACGGAATATTCAACATATAATTAAACATCTTGTTACGCAATCATTTGAGGGCCTTTGGAAATCTACAGATCTAAGAAGTTTTTATTTTCATGCCCCATATGAACAAGCTTTTCTTAGGGGGACCTCCGTATTTATGTTTACAATGCTTACGAAGAATTTTATTTATGCAGAAAAAAAAAATTTAAATAAAAAATGACACTAGCAAAACATACAGGCTGTTCTGTTAATGGAAAAGCCTTCATCATTTCTGCATGCAAAGCATCTTCCAAACCCCTTTACTAATTCACGGCTCTCATGTCATTTGCTGATGTTTTTGCATCTAGAAGACTTCGCTATGTCTAAACTACTTCAACAGCTGTCTGGGAATTTATGTGGACATACATGAGTCAGACAAGAGGGAAGTCTAAAACACTGTGGTAAAACACATTACATTTTATCTGTGATATGAAGAGAGACGGAACCATCCATCACAATGGCACAGCACACAGACACACACAGACACTGCAGCAGTATTGCTCAGTAACCACACACACTCTTTCTGTCTGAAATACAGTCACGCAGAGCGAAAACACAAAAGAAGAAACACAACATAGAAGATGGAATAGCCAGAAATTCATGCAGGACATAATAGCTTTTTTTGAAAACCTATTTAGCTGTTACTCAATACAAGCAACATGAAGAGCTTTTTATGTCAAGCACATGATAGAGGTGGCACATTTTATTATAGATACCTATACATTCAGTACTGTGCAGCGGTGGCTCAGTGGTTAGCACTGTCGCCTCACAGCAAGAAGATCGCTGGTTCGAGTGCCTGCTGGGCCAATCAGCATTTCTGTGTGGAGTTTGCATCTTCTCACTTTGTTGGCGTGGGTTAGGGTTAGGGTTATATATTTCTTTTACAGTTTGTACCGTATATTTAACAGTAAATTATTGGCAACCACATCTGCCCATCTGCCAGTCTCTATTTCAGAGGTCGCCACAGTGGAATAAATCGCCAACTATAACGGCATAGGTTTTACACAGCAGATGCCCTTCCAGCCGCAACCCAGCACTGGGAAACACCCATACACCCTCATTCACCCACACATTCATATTCATTCATTTTCTTTTCGCTTAGTCCCTTTATTAATCTTGGGTCGCCATAGCAGAATGAATCACCCTCTTATGCAGCATATATTTTACACAGCTGATGCCTTCCAGCTGCAACCTCTCATTGGGAAACACCCATACACATTCATTCACGCACATACACTGCAGATAATTTAGCTAACCCAATTCACCTGTCCCGCATGTTTTTGGACTTGTGTGGGGAAACCGGAAACCGTGTGTCTGGATTCCAATTTCACTTCATGACAGTGTATTTGACTACATGGAAGTGTATGTGACAAATAAAGGCCTTTGATTGATTGATTGATTTGCT